CGTGTCTACTTTATTATCGAGCCTCAAATGAGAATTTATGTAGACATAAACGCTCGTGTCAGCAATGCGCCCCGCATAGGTGAGGGGGGGGGGGAAGGGGACACATCGTCGAGCAGGCATCTATCACACGGCGGTGCCGACCTGGCCGTTCTGCCGTTGTAGCACGTTGCAAGTCCTAGTCACGCAGAATCGTTCGGCATTCGAGAAATGTCGGCGTCGAGTGACAGAAGACACCTCATTCGCAAGAGGAAGGGTAATGGAGTCTCGGAGAATTGCGCGTGATTGATCCGCGCGCGTCCAAGGTAGAATAATTATTTTTACTTGAAAATTTAAACCTTTACCAAGCAAGTTGTCGCCATAATAATTTATTAAGACGAGATAAAATAATTAAAACAACTGTTTCCCTCTCTCCAGATTTTTTTATTGATCGTTGTTGTACACTTTGTACAGTGAAAATTAATACGACATAAGTCTAGGCAAATATTTCAAAGAGAAAAATAACGAGCGCGAAACAGAGAGAAGGAGACATAGGTATATAAAGCGACCTTTTATATTAATTTCTAAATCGGGATGGAACGCAGCGCGGTATACGTATCTATACGAGCCGTACCTACAACGAAGCGCAAGAAACGATATGCATTTTCATTTTGTCACGTTCTTTTCGACGATATTATTATCGGGACGTCCTGCGACACGCGAAAGGTGCAGCGCGCGAACGCGCAGCTGGTAAAGTACGCGCGGTAACAAACGACCGCGATGATTTTGCCCCGTGTCACCGTACCGAATTTAAAGTAGGCAACGCGAGACTTTGCCAATCTGAATAAAGGGAGCAATGCGCTCGATATGGCGAGGCGTGGGCTAGATCGCGTCCTCCTTCCCCCTTCTCCCTTAGGGCTCGTAAATAAATGAAACCTACGAGAGAGAGAGAGAGAGAGAGAGAGAGAGAGATACCGCGCGGCGGAGTGGCGCGTGCATAAATAGAGGCGATTCGGTATAAAAAAAAAGTGCGTGCATTCCCACTCTCCGGACTCTGAATCATCGTAAAAGTGTTCGCCTGTTCAATATATTGTACTTACGCGGAGCATCTCCGCCAGACGAAAGCGTGGTTTCCTTTTGTCTGACACGCTGCATAATTCCCCCCCTTTTCGCATGGCAAATTTCGCATGGGCAAATCTCCACTCCCGGTCGAACGAATATTTCCAGTAATTTATTTGCATAATGCCGAGCAGAAAATTCCCATCCTTTTTCGTATCGATCCACCGGAATTCGATCTATAATACAATAAATTTATATTTATATAACAAAAGAACGGATGCGTTTCTGGATGTATTTATTTCTACATACGCGCGATATGTTTTTTTTTTATTGATTGTTGTTATATATTTTGTAAAGTGAAAATGAATACAACATATATAAAGGACATATGAATACACATATACAACATATATATCTAGGGCATCTAGGCAAATTTCAAATGAAAAAATAATGAGCAAACGAAACAGAGAGGAGGAGACATTTGAAGAAGGAGGAAGAGCTGATAAAAATGGAAACGTGAGAAAATGTGGGAGTAACGTGATATAAATGTGCAGAATTGGATCTCTCCTCGAGGATTCAAGAAGGTCCGGGACACCATCGGACGGCATCGTGTAGCACGATGATTAACGAGTCCCCTTCAATTCGGCGTGAGGAACGCCGCGGTATTTTTCACCCCGTCGACGTTCGAACACTCTAAATTCCCATCGCGGATCGACTCCGTGGCGTTTACGTAGATTAACGCGGAAGTCTCCATCACCACAAATCATTATTAGCATATTATCGGCGACACTTATCAGGGCGCCGCGCGAAGTTTCCACCCTCTCAAATAAGACCCCGCTCATAAATCAGAAAGTGTCTTTCCTCGACTCGGTGATATTTCATTCGTTAACAGGTATATAATTACGTCCGCCGCGCGCCAAAGTCCATCCCGATCAAGCATTTTTCCACTTTCGGCGCAAAAATAATAAAATATACGCGTACGAAAGGGAGAAGGGGGGCGAGGGAGAGAAAGAGATGGAGAGAGAGAGGGGGGGGAGGTCCTCGCGCGCGCGATAAATAGACAGCCCATAAACTGGCTGGTTTATCGCCGATCAATGGCACATCTTCATGATAAATATTTGCCTAACGCTCGCACCGGCGCGGCGGATTACCGTTACCACGCGTAATTACGAGCCGATGTATTTCATCGGGGCGCGCCAAACGGATACGTCGCGGATACGTCGCGTCGCACATTCGGCCTATCGACGGGCCGAATGCGCGCATTACCGATCCGAAATAAAGTTAAAGTTTATTATCTTCCATCTGCGCATTCGGATTGTGATAAAGTGTTGGAATAAAACGTCGCTTTTACAGTATTTTATGAGCTTTGGAAGCGACGATACATATTCCATTCGACAGAGCGACAAAAACAGGATCGTATATAAAACGGTGATGCGAAGGGGATCGATCGTCGACCCTCTCCTCCCTCTCCTACCCTCCGCCCCCTCCCCCGGAATAATTAAAAACGCGATGCTTGATCCGGCGCATCTCTCGATCGGCGAACTCGCTTATGAAAAAATTACAAAAAAAACAAAAAAAACGTTAATCGATATTTATCATTAATTGCGGCGACGGATCCGCGCGGATTTATCGCGCGCTTCGCGGCTGTATTTCATCGGTCCGGCCGCCGTATATTCCGAAGGAAATTTTTCCACTTTTTTTCAGTTATCCAGCTCAATATCAGCGCAGACATAAAATGTATCATCACCGCTCGAAACGGAAGGAACGCTACCGCCATCACGCATCCGAAAATTAATCGGCGTGGGCGCAGCCGATAACGAATGGTGTTCCCGCCAAACGGCCAGTATATTTTACTTTGCTCTCCAGTGTCTGTTATTTTGTGCGCATTCTGGCTGTCCGCTCGGCACGATTTACTCGCCGGTCTCGATCAGGAATTTTCGAGGCGCGCGCGCGCGGCCGGACAAATATCCGCGGATCCATTAAAAAATTGCTGCCGCTCGCGCTCCCGCTTAATCCCACCCGATTGAAAGTCTCGATCGTGAATTATCCATAATTGGTTCATAATGCAATTTAAGATTGATAACTGAGTTTCTTTACAGTAAAGTTAAAAAGATACGATAGTTCATACACACATATACTTGTGTATACAATAATTTTTTTCTCTGTAGCGACAAAATCATGCAAGGAATTATAGAACTTTAGAAAAATAGCTGATTTGAAAAAAAATTGAAAAAAATTTTCATTTCCCACTGTAATTTGAAATAATAATGAAGCCAATATTATATACAGTTATAAGTAAAGCAATAAAAATTAAAGTTAAATTTATGTCTCAAGACTTTATTTTAAACGCGTTTTATTCAAAACATTATTTTCGAAAAGTCACGCGGTAACGCAAACACAATTTGAAGTTTTTAAATAACATTTTTAATATTCTACGATGCGATACATTTTTTATTCTTCGGTTGACGTAGATTTTGTTCTACTTTTAATTTCCTTTCTTAAGTTATATAAAAAAACACAATTTTAAGTTTTTAAATAACATTTTTAATATTCTACGATCCGATACATTTTTTATTCTTAGATTGACGTAGGTTTTGTTCTATTTTTAATTTCCTTTCTTAAGTTATATAAAAAAGAATTAAATTTTTTATAAAAACACATCTACTGTATTTAGATGTGTGTCTGTTTACACGAAAAATAAAAAAGTTTTTTAATTCCCTCCGTGATTCGAAAAACAAATGTAGAGTTTTAAAGAAAGGTTTATTTATTTATTTCAGATAATATGATAATAATAATTAATTATTAATATTTTTTCGGGACAATTCCTTGTATTTTTTCTCGCTTTTTATATTTCAAATCGGTAACGTTCTGTCTTTGCCCTTGATGCTGTTTTCTCGATACGTCGCTGTTTATCTGGTTGCGAGTTTCAGGCACCTCGAAAAGCTGCACACGTTTAACTCTTTCACAGTGGGACATATACAATATTTCAATATATTTAAAGAATTGTATCTCTAATAAATATTGAATTATTAAGACAATAAAAACAATATAAACTGCCGCATGAATTTTTGTATAAATCGATCATCAAGCACTCCTCCCTCTCATCCTATTATTATTTTTTATATCATGTAATATTAAGTAAACTTTTCACATTAAAATATATTTTTAAAGAAAAATCTTCGGCAAAGCTAATAAACTTCTCCAAAACTTACATAAAATCAATGTAAATTGTTCTCAGTTCCTATATATAGATAGTACTTAATAAATACGAAATGTGTGTTAAATTAACATTAAAATTGATATAGCGGTGTTTCGAATTCACATACATATGTTATTTAAAATTGGATACGCATATGTATCGAATTGGATGTATCTGTCAAAGTTAAATAATATTTAACAATACGAATAAAAAAGAACCATAGAAGTTAATCTGTTTCAGAACCATTTGTTAACCAAAGTAGTTTAAAGTAAATCTTTTTACATTTTTTATATTTAATTATGATTACATATAATATAAATATATTTAATTATAATGAAATATAATTATTTTAATTATAATTGAATTAAAATTTAATCATAATTAAATGAAATTAAACATTATTTAAATTTATCTTTGTATTGAATTAAATTTCTTTGAAGCTAAAATTTGTGAAACAAATTTCTCTTGAACGTGTCTCCGGCCAAACCTTTTTCATTAGAAAATCGTCATAACTCCTTCCGAGAACGACACCGTCTTTGCTCCGCAACTAAACTGAAGCGGAACGCTACAAAGAGGTAGTAGGCGCCGTAGCGGTTCGATGCCCCAGCCGAGATGAGAGGGAAGGAGAGAAGGAGAAGGAGAGAGAAATCCATCTCTCGCTCCATTCGTTCTATCCACTTCTATCTGGCCCTGCAACAATTCAGGCTCCGGCAGGTGGCGTTCGTGTTATCCGATGCGCGTCGCTTTCCGCCATCTTTTGTGCGATCGTTGTTGAGTGAGGTTTCGTGAGCATTCCGTGAGGAGTGTCAGGTCGGCTCGTGGTGAGACGAACGTAGTGCGCGAACGTGGTGTCGAACAACGACGTCGACGACGAGGAGACGAGAAAGGAGGCTGCTGCTCCGTGCTGCGGCCGTACCGTGATCGGTGTCGCGTGCTGAACGGCAATTCGCGGAGTCGTCGGGGACGCGGAGTCGCGCACGCAGCACGTTACGGTAAGTGTCGGGGTGCTCGCCGCCGCGGTGTGTGCGCGCCATTGCGGCCGAGGAATCCGCGGCCCGCACCCGGGAGGTGTGGGAGCGTCGTCGCGTCGCGAGTGTATTGTTTACGCTACTGGGTGTGTCAAAGTGTGTTTGCCTGCCGCCGCCTTCCCCCTCTCCCCCTCCCCCTCTCCCACGCTGGAGTGCCCCGGGAGTTGATGATCCGCCGTGACTTCCGGCCGGACGTGCTCCGCCGTGCTCGCGGCGTTCCCTCTTATGACAGCTCCGAGATGACCTCGGAATTCACGGTTCTCGTCGAACGGAGGACGGGAGTTTTTCCGACGAAGGGAGGCTGCTTGGGTGGACGCGCGACATTAATTCGCGACGGTTTTCAAGCCTCTCGCGATACTTTGGGGAAAACTCATCCGCGTGCTAATGACAATCGCGAAGAGCGTCTTTGCCTTTTAATTTCTTTGAGAACGCCTCCGCTACTACTCCCGATCCGCAAATCTCGACATTCTCGAGGTCTCTCGTTTCAGCTTCAGCGGGCGAGAAAGAGAGAAAGAGAGAGAGAGAGAGAGAGAGCGGCGCATCAAAGGGAATCATCCGCTCGAGCTGGGTTCCGAGTCGATCGCCAGACACGAACATGCGCGTCGGTGTCCGATGCTCCGCGACGACGTAAATTCCTTTCCGTCGTCGACAGAAACCTTTCATCTCTGTGCTCTCCCGAGTTTCTCGGCGGTGATTTTTATCCCCCTCACCCCCGCGCCCTCTCACCCCAGCTCCTGTCGCTCCTTTTCTCGCTGAACAACGCCACGTACATACGTATGAACATACGTACGCGCAATGCGTGCACTCGCCAATTCTCGCACACACTTGCCAGTTGCCTTTCCCTTCGCCACCCCCGCGCTCCTCTCCTCCTCCCTCTTCCCCCCCTCACCCCCCACCCCTCCCACCTCTCTCACGCGGTCTCGTCGATTGTCAGAAAATGGGTGACACACCGCATTCCCGGAGTTCTCTCGCGTTATGTCACGCGGCTAGCAGCGCGCCTCCCGTCCGTCCCACCCTGGATTCCACGCGCGGGGGAGCCCTTCCGCCGCGGTTCCCGCATCCCGCGGCTACACCCGACGGGTGCAACGGCACGAAGCAACGCATATTCGATCGCGCGGGTCGGCCGCGCGAACACCCACAAGCCTGTGAAGCTGTGGCGCGACGCGGGAGCGAGACAGAGAGGAGGAGGGAGGGAGTGTAGAAAGAAAGAGAGCGAGCGAGAGAAGGGGGGGGGATCCCTTCGATCGCGCCCACATTCCGTGCGGGAGTGCATTGGGGAGAGCATCTTTTCCCGGTCGCAGGCAGGATGCACTGACCCGCCGTACCGTTGTAGTGTCGCGCAAGTGGACATTTTCAACGAGCGCATGTCGCTCTTCAGCGACACTTCTTCTCTCTCCTCTTCTCGCGTAGCGTTCTTCGGGGTGGAATCTGGGACGAACGGGCGATTGTCTCGCTCTCGCGCCGAGCCGGTAAATCGAGTACTCGATCGTCGCGTCGAGCGACGGAAATGTCGCTCCGCGTTCGATCTTTCTTTCGCATTGTCGGTTTCCTTTTTCGCATAGCTGAAATAGCGCGAGCAGGCCGGGTTGAGAGCGGCCGCGAGGCGTATCGAGAGACAACTGCATTCGCCAAGACGCATCTAGATCGTCATACATTCATTTTATCCTCGTTTGACATTCGGTGAATAACAAGGATAAAATGATACACACCGTGAATTCCTGAACGCGTACCAGAACACGGCGTTTAAATGCTTATAGGAGTCCTGTTTGTTTATTTCAGGTGCGGAGATAAATTCTTGCTGGAATCATGAGTTATCCAATGTCAACGAATCAATCGAGACCGAGTAAGTCGCGCCATTTACGTGGTTCGGTGATATCAAGGATGGGACTTTACGTTTGTTTTTTTGGGGGGGTTTTGCAGTGTCTCAAGGAAATTACCAGGGCCCGGGCGACTTGCCCATGGGCTCGGCCAAGGAACAGACGCTGATGTGGCAGCAGAACTCCTACATGAACGACTCAGGTATCCATTCCGGCGCTGTCACCCAGGCACCATCTCTGTCCGGCAAGGAGGACGAGGAAATGGAGGGTGATCAGCTGATGTTCGATCTGGACCAAGGATTCGCACAGGGTTTCACACAGGATCAAGTCGACGGTGAGACTACCCACCATTCGATCTTTGTAAATTCGACTTTTATCGCAAAGCAAAATTGAATATGCTACGATGGAGAATGGCATTTTTCAGAGATGAATCAGCAACTGAGTCACACCCGATCGCAACGTGTGCGCGCCGCTATGTTTCCCGAAACGCTGGAGGAAGGTGTGGAGATACCTTCCACGCAATTCGATCCCGCACAGCCCACCGCCGTACAGAGACTGGCCGAGCCGAGCCAGATGCTGAAGCATGCCGTTGTCAATTTGATAAACTATCAGGACGATGCTGATCTTGCGACACGCGCTATTCCAGAATTGATCAAATTGCTGAACGACGAGGATCAGGTGGTCGTCTCCCAGGCGGCTATGATGGTGCACCAGCTGTCGAAGAAGGAGGCCTCCCGTCATGCCATCATGAACAGCTCGCAGATGGTGGCCGCCTTGGTGCGCGCTATCTCGAACAGCGACGACTTGGAGTCGACGAAGGCCGCGGTCGGCACGCTGCACAATTTATCACACCACCGGCAGGGCTTGCTGGCCATTTTCAAGAGCGGCGGCATTCCCGCGCTTGTGAAACTACTGAGCTCCCCCGTGGAGTCCGTTCTTTTTTACGCGATAACGACGCTACACAATCTGTTGCTTCATCAAGACGGTTCTAAGATGGCCGTGCGCCTTGCCGGCGGTTTGCAAAAGATGGTCGCTCTGCTTCAACGGAACAACGTCAAGTTCCTAGCCATTGTTACCGATTGCCTGCAGATTCTGGCATACGGTAATCAGGAGAGCAAGCTAATTATTCTTGCCTCGCAAGGCCCAATTGAGCTTGTACGCATCATGCGCTCTTACGAGTACGAGAAACTGTTGTGGACCACTTCAAGAGTATTAAAAGGTATCTATTAATTTGTCCTGAATTTATATCATAATGTAATCTTGTTGTAAAAACAAATTTGTGCTTATTAATGATTTATTATGTTTGCAGTATTGTCCGTCTGTCCTAGTAATAAACCCGCGATTGTCGAGGCTGGAGGTATGCAGGCACTCGCCATGCATCTTGCGAATCCGAGTCAAAGATTAGTGCAGAATTGCCTGTGGACGCTGCGTAATCTGTCGGACGCTGGCACGAAGGTTGACGGTCTCGATAATTTGCTGCAGAGTCTCGTGCTTGTGCTCGGATCGGCAGACGTCAATGTGGTCACGTGCGCCGCTGGCATCTTGTCAAACCTGACCTGCAACAATCAGCGCAACAAGGTACGTCGAAGTAAAGGCATTTCTTCGCGATGCTCTTAAGTGTATAATCAAGTTTAGGCTCTAATCAGGCTCTTAATTTCAGGTTGCGGTGTGTAATTTCGGTGGTGTCGACGCTCTGGTCCGTACGATCATCAATGCCGGTGATCGGGAAGAGATAACCGAACCGGCGGTGTGCGCCTTACGTCACTTGACCTCGCGTCACGGCGAAGCGGAAATGGCGCAAAATTCCGTTCGGTTAAACTATGGTATCCAGGTTATAGTCAAATTACTCCATCCGCCGTCACGCTGGCCGTTGGTGAAGGCGGTTATCGGATTAATCCGCAACTTGGCTCTGTGTCCTTCTAATCACATCCCGTTACGCGATCACGGCGCGATACATCATCTTGTGAGACTCTTGATGCGTGCATTCCAGGACACTCAACGCGTCAGTATAAATTATTATAAAGAATAGAATTATATATGTTGTACAATAACGCTTAATATTTTAATTGATAATTCTCCGCTGAGAAAATATTTAAATATTAATTTAAATTCTATTTGACGATAAACAAAGAATTAACATAAAAATATATTTGTCACAATTTTTACGTGTACAGAATGATATTTGACGGTTATTTGTTATTTGCAGCAGCGCTCATCTGTTGCCAGTACCGGCAGTCAACAGGCAGCGGGTGCGTATGCAGACGGAGTACGTATGGAAGAAATAGTGGAAGGTTCAGTAGGTGCACTTCATATCCTTGCAAGAGAGTCCCATAATAGGGCGATAATTCGATCACAGAACGTAATTCCGATCTTCGTACAAGTACGTATTGCTATTTTTACAAAAATACATTAAGGATGTTTAGTACCTACAATAGTAGCAAAAAGTTAAAGAACTGATTTTGCCGAATATGCTCTTCTCATATATGTTTGAGTAATAAGGATTGTGCAGAATGTTATCATTTATTCAGAACTAGAGCGCAGAAATGTTTTTGTTGCTTTTTTTTTTGAGAATTTTCGAATTTTATGGCCAAATCTAACCTAAAAATTCAAATTAAAATCCTTATAACTTTGAATTGCTTCAGTGAATCGATTCCGGCTTTTGTCTTAAGTCTTTCAACATATATAAGAATAATCTGTAAAATTTTTGTTAAATTCTCATTATTTTAAAAATTCTATAGGTATAGAATATAAAAATTTTATACGGAAGAGCACACG